CCATAGGGAATGATTAATTTGAAGTTTGAAGTGAATAAGTAACTAAAAATTGAAGAGGCTATTGCTGCAGAAGTGGAGAAAAAGCTGAAAGCAATGAAAATGGGTACTTAACATGTAGCTCAAGTTCAACAGGTACAGAAGGTTGCTTGTGAAATTTATAGTGGATTGCACCTTATTGGGAAATGTCTTGAAACTCCATAATAAATTGAGTGGATAAAATTCTTGAGGAAAAATAACCCATATTCTAACACCTATAATCCTGGGTGGAAGAATCATCATAACCTCTCTTGGAAAGATCAGCAGCAACAAGCTCCTCAGAAGGCATATTCGGAGGTGGCTATTGAAAAGATGGCTGCCCACACCTCTCAAGTTCAAGAAGAGATAACGAGTAATCACATGAATACTATAGTTGCAATCAAAAATTTGGAAGTTCAAATGGGATAGATTTCACATCGAGTAGTAATGCGAGCACAAGAAAATCAGAAAAATCATGAGAATGTTAATGTTGTTACAACAAGGAATAAGAAAGCTGCTGAAGAGAAGAAAGATGAGGTAATATTTGATGATAATTTCATATAAGTAGAGTTGGAAGTGAGAGAGAATAGGAAAAAACAGGAGGACGTGGTCTCACATGTTAAGCCAGTTGAAGAGAAGACTAAACCAGTGATCAAGTTATCGTATCCATCTAGAGTGGCAACACAAAAGAGAAAGAGTTTGATAAATTTGTTCAGTTGTTCAAAAATCTAGTGATCAATATACCATTCTTTGAAGCACTCGAGAAAATTCCTTTGTATCATAAATTCATGAAGGAGGCTTTATCAAAGAAAAGATCAACAGGAGGGGGATCAGTACCATGTGATGAGAAATTGTGTGTAAATGCACCCGAGAGAAAAATACTTGTCAAGCAGAAGGATTTGGGGTTAGTTGCAATATGATGCACCATAAAAGACATAAATTTCAAGAGGGTTCTTGTTGATTATGGCTCTAGTGTGAGTTTAATGTCATTATCGATTTTCAAGAAGCTCGGTATTGAGAAGATAAGCGGGAGTGGGACAAAATTGAAATTTGTTGATCACACCATCAAGCAGTTATATAGGATAGTTGAAGATGTACTAGTGGAAATTGATAATTTTGTTTTCCCAGTTGATTTTCAGATCATGGACATACCTGAAGATGAAAAGACTCCTATCATTCTTGGTCGACCACTTATGATGACTAATCGATGCAATTTTGTTATTGAGGCAAGTAATCTGACACTGTAATAATTTAATGAGGAGATAACCTTTAAGGTGTTAGAAATCAAGAAGCAAGGTACAGGTTGAAAGAATAAATCTTCAGTCGAAATGATCAAAGTATAAGGAGAGAGCAACAATTCAACATCACTCCCAAAAGAAGTCTCAGGAAAAATATCTCGAGTGGCATCAATAAAAATTCCTATGTCCAGTCAAGAAGAAAAGAAGAGAAATAAGAATGAACATCGAGATGAGAAGATGGAAATTGGAAGTGGCTGGAAGCACAAATTGGTTGATACTTTTGATCTGAATGAGTTCTGGATTACGGAAGAGACATGCAACAAGGTGTGGAAGAGGAAATACCCCCCCATAATGGGATTAATCGTCTAGTCATGTGACGTTAAATGAAGAGCTTTGAGGGAGGCAAACCACACTTTTAACTTAGTTTTTGTTTAATTTTGTCTGCAAGTAATAAAAAGGGAGTCTTACTGGTTAAATCTAGGATGCACCAACATGTGTTGCATTCCCCTCTGTGAGTCACCTTCCTTCTGCTTGTTTTGAAATATTGGGGTTAATGTTTAGTTCAAGTTTGGGGTGGCGGGGGCTTTCTTTTCTTTTTACTTCTTTGTTGTTTGATCTGTTTGTTGGTTTTATGCTAAGTATTGTGTAAATCTACGAGTTGAAGTCCTTCCCAAATTGTGCCGATTTTTTTGTTTTGTTTAAGAAGTTGTTTCTTATAAAGTTCAGGAGTAGTATATAGAGACAAATGGATGGTTGTTGGAAGGTAGGAAGTTTGAAATAATATGACAGTAATACGAGTCTAATGTGTAGATTTGTACCATAGTGCTTGAATCTTGAGAAGTACCCCTGAAGTAGTTTATCCTTACAGTCTGGCATAACATAGATTCACATGCATGTATGATTGATGTAGAGATAAATAAATTTGGAACTAAATGATGAAAAGGCAGTAAAAGGCAACTGACTCGCTAAGTTGGGTAGCCATCATCCTATTATTCATCCCAAAGGGGGTTGATCCCCAAATGTCGTCCAAAAGGATAATATATAACTTCAATGTTTGAAAATTTCATCGGTAATTAAAATTAGCCAATGCTGCTATTTGGTGGCTAAGCAAAAAGTCTTGATTAGTCTTGTGAATGAGATGATCATCATAATTCTCATTGCCTTAATTTGATTGTCCGAATGAAAAAGGAAGAAAATCGGAAAGAGACTTAAGTACATAGCATAGTTAGAAAGGTATCTAAAGAGGAAGCTTTGGATTTAAAGATTCTTAAACAAACTCTTTGCGTCATGTGAAAATAAGACATACTTCTTTTTAGTCAATTTGAACGGATGTCTCATGTATGAGTACCGGGCTGCTGTGATTTTCATGAGTTCTTGTAATGGTCTCTTGAGGTCAAACAATGGTTTAAGTTTGGGGGAGTTTGATCATTGTTTTTTACACAGACATTTAACATTTATTTTAGTTATCGTTTCTTTATTTTGTCATGTGTTTTATGACATTCTTCTATGTTTTATGTGTTGGTTGTGTATTTTGTTGTTTTCAGGCTCAGAGAAATAAAACCAGAAAAATCAGTGCAAAAAGTGCAAATTTAGAGTTTTGGAGGAAGTCTAAAAAAACAAAATACAGGGTGCCTAACACAGACACCCGGTGTCACCTGACACATGCCGTGTTAAGATGAGCACTATTGTAAAAGAGGAAAATAATGGGGCTGGAACTGTTGCTCGTGTCGCCTGACACGTCCCGTGTCAGGGTGCCTGAACTAAAAGTCAGAAAATTATTTATCAGAAAGCCAACACGGGCGGCGGTGTCCCCTGACACGGGCCGTGTTGGCCATAGGGACGTTTTGGGTATTTCAGACTGAGATAAATGGATTGTTCACTATTTAGCCAAATTTCCACGATGAAAACAAGGACTTTTTTGACGGGAGAAGATTATGAACGATAAAGGTTGGTGCTTTCAAGAGATTTAGAGAAGAATATTCCTTCATGAGCAACAACAATTGAAATCGAAGAATCCTCACCTTTTGTAATGTCTAATTTAATTATTGCTTTTCTTTTTAATACTATGAGAGGCTAAACCCCCCAATGCTATGGGGCGTCCCTGATTTGCAAATTTATTGATTTTAAATTCTTGGTATTCATACAATAGTTTCTTTTCAATTTAATTGTTCAATATTGTTATGCCTTTCCTATCAGAAAAATAGGGAGTGATCCACAGTTAACAATTAGGGTTGGACCGCCATTGTTAAGGTTTTTGAACAATTAGACTATAGTACATATCACCTACAACTATGGATACCCTATAGGTCACCGGTAAAATCTTGATAATATAACTTCTTGGTGTCATCATAATTCACTAAGGACTTAAGTATTAGGATGAAGGACCAAAGGTTTTCTCACTGTGGATTTAGGGGAAAACAGACTAAATATTCAGTAGTTGAAAGTAATGAACTTGTTGAAGAGATCAAGAATGAAGGTTAATACAAGGTAAAATAACACATTTACCCTAAAATGCTCCTCATATCTATTAAAAAACCATTTTATCTTTTTATTGATTAAATGACAATTTCAAAACCTTACCCCAAATGAAGCTTTTGTTTAATTGAACTACACATTATCCTCAATACAATACGTAGTCCTCGAGATCGATATTCGGTGAAAAACTCGCTATTATTACTGCAAGGCAAAATAATACACTTGTTATTTTTCCTTATCAACTTTCAAGTATTTAGTGCAACCGTGTGGGACCAAAGGAAGGAAGCATCTTGGGATCCTCTTGTAAAGCTGGCTTCTAAGATATTTTCCTCCTAGATGAATGGGCTTGTGAGGTTATAAGGTAGGTTGTTCATACTGAATTCAGTGTTGATTGTTATCTTGGTGTTATTTTTTCATTCTTGAAGATATCGGTCTTGGTTTGGAATAAGTTGGTTAATTTGAAAAGGCGTTTTCTTGGGAGAGGGACGGGGGGTCAAAAGAGGGAGTGAAGGCATGAAGAAGTTGAGTATTAACATTATTGTTTCATTCCTATTTCTAGCGTACTTAAGCGTAGTTCAAGGACACCATTTTGACATAACAAAATATGGTGGAACACCAAATTCAGATATTACCCAGGTATTTATTATTTATTATTTTATTATTATTATTATTATTATTATTATTATTATTATTATTATTATTTATTATTATTATTATTATTATTATTATTATTGAGGAAATAATTAATATTTGATTTATTTTCTAATTGTTTCGTTTGACAAACAAGGCTTTCAAAAAAGTTTGAAAAGAAGCATGTGAATCACCTAGTGCGGCTAAAATAGTGATTCCATCTGGTAAATACAGGACAAGTGGAATAGATGCTCAAGGTCCATGTAATGTAAGTCTCCAATTGAAGTTCAAGTTGATGGCACAATTCAAGCACCTTCAAACATAAATCAATGTCATAAAGGGATTGATCAATGGATTAGGTTTGGGACTATGGACCATTTAACCCTATCATGTAAGGGAATTTTTGATGGTCAAGGTGCAGCTACTTGGAAACAAGGTGCAGCTGCTTGGAGCAAAAATCATAAAGTTGATAAGAAAGTTTCCATGGTAAATATTTATTAATTAATACAAAATTTGAGTTTTTATTTATAATTGACGGGTTGAATTTCAATAAAATTTGGGTTTTTATTTATAATTGACTGATTGAATTTCAATAGAATTTGCGTTTTTATTTATAATTCACTGGTTGAATTTCAACAAAATATGGGTTTTTATTTTGTTAACAACTCCGTCATCACTGGAATTACATCTAAGGACAGCAAAAATTTCCATTTAATGGTTTACGGCTGCGAAAATATCACATTTGATGGCGTCAAAGTTACTACTCCTGCTGACAGTACAAACACGGATGGAATCCACTTGGGAAAATCAACTGATGTTAAAATTCTTAATACCGACATTGCTACTGGAGATGATTGTGTGTCATTGGGTGATGGTAGCAGAAAAGTACTTATCCAAAATGTGAATTGTGGACCTGGTCACGGTATTAGTGTTGGAAGCCTTGGAAAGTTTAAAAATGAAGATAATGTAGAAGGTTTGAGAGTTAAGAATTGTAAAATGTCAGATACTGATAATGGAGTGAGGATAAAAACTTGGCCATTTGGACCAGGAACACTTACTATTACTGATATGCGTTTTGAAGATATTACCATGAATAGTGTTAGGAACCCTATCATCATTGACCAATAGTATTGTCCATGGAACCAGTGCAACAAAAAGAATCCATCCAAAATTAAGATAAGAAAGGTTATATTCAAGAACATTAAGGGAACTACAAAAGCAGAAGAGGGAGTGGTTCTTATATGCAGCAGTGGTGTGCCATGCGATGGTGTCGAATTAAGTAATATTGATCTCAAGTTTAATGGAAAACCAGCAAAAGCTGTATGTTCTAATGTCAAACCTAAAGTTTCAGGAAATGCTCCTAAATGTGAAGCTTATACTCCACCTCCCTCCGGCTGATCTATTTTTTTCACTTTTTCATTTTTATTTTTATTTCAAGAGTACTAGACATACCATCCCTACACGAGGATGGTGATAATTATAGTAGTTTAGTCCATTGGAAAGAAATAATTCCACATATTTATTAGAACTATTGTCATTATGGTATACAAATTTAATTAGTATTTATATTCTTTAAAGTAAGATTTCATTTCCCGCCAAGCATGTTGGTCAAGACGGTAAAATTTGGATTAATTTTATTATGCAATCAATTCTTTTTAATAGCCAATTAGCATCAATAATATATTACTATTAAAGTTAATAAAGTTCACAAATAATACTGAAGAAGCAAATATCACCAAAAGTGCCCAGGAGAAATATTTCTTGCAAAAGCTTAGGACGAATAATAAAACGAAAAACAAAACAACACAAATCAGGAGCATCGATATTAACCCACTTACAAGCCAAACTGATAATCGAGGGCATCCAATGATTTTGACAAAATATTTTCGAGAAAAAGTAAAATTTCAGAACGAGACCAAGAATGAAGACACATTTTTCCCATGACTCCTAATATCGACAATGGTAAATTCCCTGACCGCTCCCACAAACCTAAGGACTCTATAATATATTGCTAAAGCAATCCCACACGACAGAAATAAATGATCGGCCAACCCCACCTGCCCCACACACTTGTCGCACCCCACATTACTAGAGCCAGACACTTTTAGACGTGTTAGAAGATTTTCCTAGTAAGAAACCTATTTTAGATCAACTGCTAAGAGAAAATAACCACTTTATAAACCCCTTTAGCATGCGTCCAACTCTTGGAAACCATAGAAAGTCCTTGCAAGACCCTATTTGAACTACATTCCTGGACCTCAGCCAAAGTTGGAAGGTTATCATAAGCTGACCTTTTAGAAAAGCCCCTAGTTTAATCTGGCTCCCACACCCAAACATCTATCTGATCACGTGTAACAACACCTGAGATAAAATCGATCAAAACTTCAAAGAGCTCCTCCTCAAAAAGAAGAAACATCCACCTCCACCTAAAACTCCAAACCCATACATACCCTATCCAAGAACCCAAAGTACACCCACTTAAAATTTCTTCTCCGAGATAGAAAATAATCTCACAAAGTGTACACACAAAGAGGTATTCTCCACCCAGGCATCATGCCAAAACCTACTCTTTTGGTTGTCATTGACAAACTTAACATAAGATAAGGAAAACCATTTAGACTTATGATTCGGATGAGATATAAGGAGAGAGACATCTCTCCACCAATGAGACACCATCTTAAAACCTCCTATCCCGTCTCCTAAATTTAAGTAAAACCCTGGGAACCACACATAGGTTTGGTACTATCAACTCAATGTAAGGACAAGTACAAAATAATATCCAACCTCCACTTACTTTATAAGGCTATATTAAGAAATCTAAGATCTTTCACCCCCTAAACCATATGTCCTTTTGACCTAACACACATCCTCCAGATTAACCCACATGACCTTCGCTCCTCCTTTCAAGCCCCCTAGAAAAATGCCTTTGCAAATCCACCAATTTACTCTAAATCGTGACTTGAATCTTCATAAAAGACAAAAAGAGTAGAGGAATTGAGTTCATAACTGATTTCAAAAGGACAACCCTACCTCCAAGGCTCACAATCTATTCCGGCAAGAGGCTAATCTCTTATAGACTAACTTAACAATATTGTCTCAAGTCCATTTCTTCTACAAGTTCGAGCCCGTAGGAAGCCCTAAATACCTGAAAAGGAGATAACCAACCTTTCAATGAAGAAAGCCTTCTTGAAAAAATTCACTTTAAGAACTAATGTCAGCTCGAAGCTTCTATGAACTACCTTTATCTTTTTCATTTTTTATTTATTTCAAGAGTACTAGACATACCATTCCTAAATGAGGGTGATGATCATTAGTAGTTTAGTCCTCTGGGAAGAAATAATTTCACATATGTATTAGAACTATTGTCATTATGGTATACCAAACCCACTACCTTAAACTTTAATTTGGGTGTTTAAGAGTTTCAATTTTAATCTCTCATGACTATCATGGTACGAACTAACATGTTGTTATAACTAGTAAATTTGTATTAATAGTATTTAATATTATCTCATTATATAAGTTATTATAAGTAGTAATCTTCATAACAATAGGGAATATATGTTATTATAATTGGTTATCTTCATGCCACTAGGGAGCTTGTTTAGAAAAGGAAGAGGATTATATCGATATTTTAGCAGTAAAATTATATAGGAGTGACTATTTGAGAGAATGATAATTTCTATTAAAGGATAATTTACAAGCTTGTTTGCTTGTGTTTTTTCTCACTTGTTATTTGCTTATAATTGTTTGTTTTTAAATGATAAGCTTTTGTCTTGTTTCAAGGGTGGGTTCTATATATATATATATATATATATATATATATATATATATATATATATATATATATATATATATATATATATATATATATATATATATATATATATATATATATATATATATATATATATATATATATATATATATATATATATATATATATATATATATATATATATATATATATATATATAATACTAGATTAACCTGCGCGATGCGAGCTGTAAATTAGTTTGTTTATTTTTATTGAATTTTAAATATATTAAAAGTTGATTTTGATAAAATATGATTAATAAATTTATATTACAATTTTTTTTGTGAAACATAATAGAGACAATAATATACCTTAATCACAAAGACAAATATACAATTCATTTGAAAAGAAAATGCATACGTATAAATTGAGAGTGATATTTGTAATTTCGGTTTGTAAATATAAAGTGATGTTTTTTTTTTGTTTTGTTTTGATTCTAATGTTTTTTTTGCACTTATATTTTATTTAGATATTTTTCTTTAATTTTTTAAATATATGTATTTATTTTTAGTGTTAAATAAAATTAAAAATTTATTTATAATTATTTTCAAATAAAATTTTCAAGATTTTAATTTTTTTTTGTCTATTTTGTAAAACTTCATCAGATTGTTGCATACTATATTATTTTTTAAGATCAATTTAAAGTGACTTATATTTGAAAATTGTGTAAGAACTACTTTAAGATTAACAACATTTATTTCAAGTCTTATTTTTAATGCAATAATTTCAGGAAAACAAAAAATATTTTATTGTGTTTGGATTTTGACATCTCTTTTATTTTTGAAATTTGAGAAATATTTTTAATATAAGGAAATATACATAGTTGAAGTAATGATTGACTTGTTAGACCATTTTGTCCAAAATAAGATAAAAATATTTTATTGTGTTTGAATTCTCTTATCTCTTTTGTGTAGTATTTTATTATTTATCATTAGTTTATTATTTGATATTATATAAAAAATACAGTATTAAATTATATAGATATTGTAAAAGATTGTTACATACTATATTATATTTTAAATAAGTTTAAAGTGACTCATACTTGAAAATTATGTAATAAGTACACTAAGATTAAAAATATTTATTTCAATTGTTACTTTTATTACTATAATTTCAGCAAAACAAGAAATATTTTATTGTATTTGAATTCCTACATCTAATTTATATTTGAAATATGAGAGAATAATTTTAATTTTAGGAAATATATACAGTTGGATTAATGATTGGTTTGTTAGATCAATTTATTCAAAATAAAATATTATTTCGTCTTTGGTGAGGGTTCGAATCTTTGACCTCAAATTTATAGAAGTATAAGATGAAAATAAGTTTTGGGATCTGCCACATATGACTAAATAATCATGTGACAAATTTAGAGTTATAATTGATGATGTGTTAGAGTTATAATTGACGCCGTGTTGTTATAATATTTGATACATATGATTTAATATATTATATAGATTATGTCTCATAGGTTAAAAGTAAAACAATTGGGTTCTTCTACGACATCCAAGTGAAAGTTATAATTTCAATGAAAATCATGCTAGTACTCTTTCGATCAACTCAATTTCAAGTCCAATCATTGCCAATCATTGTTAGTGTAACCAACTAACCTATAATACTTATCAGAGGAGAAACTTAAGCCAAAGTCTATTGTACCCTAAACATATCAAAGAATTATTTTTGTATCATTTAGATGAGTAATAGTTGGATTCACCATGTTCTAATGATGAGTTCAATAACATATAAAATGTTAAGTCTTTTTCATGATGTAACACGGTGGGAGAACTGACTTGGTAGTTTTGCGTTTGATCGCAATTATGCGGATAGCAAGAGTCGCCACTGACTTTTCTTTTATCCAAAAGGAAAGACTGAAAAGAACAAGAAAGACCTTTAAAGATGTTTTCTTGAGTTTGGGGGGTAGATTATAAAAAGGGAAGGTATTAACACCCTTTTCATCTATAGTTATCTACAGGCTCTTAGTTGCTTGCTAGATCACTTATTTTTGTTTGAAAATATGTTTTGTGTGGTTTTTGAAAGGGTTTTGAAAAGGCGTCATCGTTTAGGAAAATTTTGTAATAGTTCTCGTTTGTAAGAACATATACAAAGTGTTGATCTTTTGAAAATGTTTCAAGTTTGAAAGATATTTTGAAAGTGTTGGTGTTTGTTTTGAAAATAGAAAGGATATTTTGATTTCAAAATGAGCACGCAACTAGTAACATTCTACCTACTCAATAGTCTTTCTTGTTTATTTCCTCTTTCCCTTGACATTGTTATTTTACCATAGATTGACAAGTAACCTTATCTTTGGATATAAAAGGGACGGGAAAGGGTCATTGTATAGTCATGAATAGCAATGTTGTAAGATATCTTAATATTTTCTTTAAGGGACTAAGATCATTTCCTAAGGCAACATTTGTAGCGTCATTGAGGGACTATGATCTTGTATTTTTGTTTGTTTTTGCTAAGATGTCTTACATGCGTATTATGACCATTGATTTCTCAAGGCAACAAGTGGAGTTAACCCTAGAGGTGAAAAGTGTGCAAGTTTATCTTTTTCATGCTTGATTTTCTTGAATTAGGGTTT